TTTTTAGATTTTAAAACAAATTATGTTTATGATAAAATTGATTTTGATTGGATGATCAATTGAACTGCACGACCCCCTGGATCGTCAATTTAATAGTTACCCCGCTCTAGCGGACCCCCATAAATCGAAATGATCTGCGTTACACAATTTTGAAAAACTCCTGACTGAATTATATGCCAAGTAAGTCACATCAGGATTTCATGATCAGCAAAAAAAATGTTTGTGAAACTCGTTCGCGAGTCATTGTACGTAGTAACTTAACGCGGTATTTAAACCAAATAAAAGTGATAACCAAAATGTTACGTATTAGTTTGTAAAAAATTAAATCGTACTTTACTAACGTTTGCTATATATATAGGATATGGTGTAGGTAACACCATTAATAAATTTAATTGATGCAAGAGAGGTGTCACCTTATACTATATATATTTTCATTTCTAATTCGTTACGAGACCTATGAAATTCTTGAGATACTTGATTAAGTATTTTGAACGATGGATTTTAATGATACTACGATTTAATTGGTTAATCGTCACGTGTATCATTAAAAAAAGAGATAAAATTATTAGATCTCCCTTAAATTTTTTATTTGATTAATCGTGATCAAATGTTTTCGAAATTCTCACGGATTCCTGGCTCAGCTAAATTACTGAATCGCGCTGGCAATAGTTTCATTATTTCGAGGTCGAAGTATACACTTCCGGATCTCCCGTATGACTATGGTGTAAATATGCAATTTTCTTTTTTATTTAAAGTCGGATCTCTTGAGAGCTTGACTAGTTAATATCAGCTTTGTGAAGTCATGATTTTAAAACTTGAAAAAATAAAGTATGCCCATATCTGAATGAATTTTATCTTATTTGCACATCGATTTATAATTGTAAAAAAAGGCTCTTGAACCTTATATCTCGGCCGAAATAATGCAAATTCATCATAATAAACATCATCAAGCGTATGTTAATGGACTTAACATGGCCGAAGAAAAGTTCGAACAAGCGCTTAGAGATCAAGATGTTACTGGACAAATCGCTTTACAATCGGCATTAAAATTCAATGGTGGAGGTAAAATATCAAATTATGATTATATTTTATGTTTTTATCTACGTGAATTCACTAAAATCACAATTTTTTAGGTCATGTTAATCATTCCTTATTTTGGACAAATCTCGCGCCTACTAAAGAGGGCGGTGGTGAGCCTCCTAAGGGTATGTTATTACCATGAACAAAGTATGACAACTGGAAGACTTTAACATCGATTTATTCGACGAGTATTAAACGCGCTTGACATTTAATTTTATAGGAGCTCTTCTTAGCGCTATCCAGAAAGAATTTGGGTCTCTTGATGATTTCATTAGCAAATTTAATACAATAACTGCTGCAGTTCAAGGTTGGTTTATTAAACAAAAAATTCGTTATTGTTCGTGTGAAACTGATCATGTGATTTTTTTTCGTCACGAAATTACAAAATCATCACATGATAATATCGATCAAATATCTTATAAATATTAATTCATATTTGTGTACTTATAACTAAATAATATTCAATTTTATAGGATCGGGCTGGGGTTGGTTGGTGCGCATAGTATTTTTATATACCATTATTTTTATAATTATAGTACCATTATTTTTATAAACAAAAATATTACTCTAAATTTATAGGGTTATAACAAAACTAGTAAACGTATTGAAATTGTGACACTTCCGAACCAAGATCCTTTAACAAGTAAGCTTTTCTAATATTAAGTCATAATTGCTTTATTCATCAAATTCTTAATTCTTCTTTGAAATATTAGCACATGTGCCTCTCCTTGGTATTGATGTCTGGGAACACGTATGTATAAAATATTTTGTAATAATAAATTTTGTGATGTCGGGTTGTTTATATAACGAAACATTGTACTTTAGGCCTATTATTTGCAGTATAAAAATGTCAGACCTGACTACTTGAAAGCCATTTGGAATGTGGTTAATTGGAAAACGGTTGCTGAAAGATTAGCAAAGGCTCAGTCATCTTCCGAATGAAAAATGGCTAAATAAAGGTAAATAATAGTTTCAATATGAATTTTACCAGGTATGTGCGCTATCATTGCCATCAGCTATTAAGTTATTTCCTAATTTACTATGACATTTTGAAGACTTTGTAAAATATTATCAAATGAATCAATTTAAATATGAATAAAAATTATTTTATAAAAAAAGATTCCCAGTTTGTTTTTGTTCAAAGTCCTTTTTTTTTTTTTTAGAAAAATCTAGTTAAAGAAATAAAATTAAATAATTACACATTGTTAGAGACTTTTCTTATATGCAAATAATATTAAAATATATAATAATAATGAACTTGAGAGGAAAAATTTTACAAAGATATAGGTAAGGAAGTTCAAGTATCATTATTTTGTAATAGCATACCAAATATACAAACAAGAAAAGTTTATACATTATGAGCCACATCTTCGGCTGATTCACTTTGACTACTTGGAATTTGACCAACGGCACCACTACTTCCTTCACCAACATTATTATTGTCATTGTCATTTGTGCTTTTCCCCCTTCTATTCCGTTCATTAGCCATTTCAACGACATCCATACGACACATTGGGCAACGTCTATTTAATGATAGCCATTCATCAACGCAATCTTTATGGAAATGATGTGAACACCATAAATTTCGAAGTTCATCACCATCTTCATATGATGAAAGACAGATAGAACAGACTGCGTCATCAGGGTTAGGAATAGTAAGTGTTTGTGGTGCTGCTGGCGAAATATTAGCAGAGTCTTTAGTTCTACTTCCAAATATATTAAACCGTGATTTTTTTTGTGACGGTGGAGATATTGGCTGATGACTCGATTCTGTCTGTGACACTGATATAACAGTATCCGTTGTTTGACTTTCTGATACATCAGATTCTTCACGAAGAGATTTATATTTTACCAATGGAATTTTTTGAATTATGTCCTCACTGGCACCGCTAATTCCAACAGCATCACCAACATGAAGAATCCTCATTGCAACTAATACGCATGGCAAACAAAAAATAACAGCGAGACACAATAATATAGGGATGGTAATTACGATATATCCAAGGATAACCCATGTTAAAGAGAGAAAGAAAATTTCAGGTGCTTTCGTCGCACAGTTTTGTGTAGTGAAAAGAAGATAATTGCCAATAATAAACCAAAGAGTGGCGAAAAGATCAAGAAAAGATTTGAAGCTAAAATTTCCGTTATAATGTATATAAATTTTTTTAGAATGAATGCCTAATAAAAACGGACTACACATTCCGGTAATAAACTCACCGATCAACCCATGAGTCTCTTCTTACTGGTTCATTATTATCTTGGTTTTGTCCATTACGTCTATGATCTCTGGGATTTAAATGTAAATACACGTTTACTGGGCATGCGACTATCACTCTGATAACGTATAATATTAGAAATACATTAAGAGGTCTGTCGCACGTCCTATTGCGTAACGCTGATATAACAAGAATCGTAATCGTGACAACGACCTACAATGATTGTTTTTTTTTTTACAAAGTACACTGATCAGCGAGTCATTTTCTTGTTAAATGAAATTTTAACGGTTAAGACACAAAAACTATTTACAAAATACACAATTGTAGATATAATTAAACAAACCTGAATAATAACTAACACTAAAGACATAATTAGCAACACCTTCGAGGTTCTAGAAATAGATCTAAAGCTTTCTATAATATAGCCCCACCAATTCCGTCTAACCTGCCTTGAGCCTGCAGCTGTTGCCCTCACAGAGGTAGTAGCAAGAGAAGAAGAGTTTGGCGTAGAGGACCATACCGAAGATAAAGCGGACCTAGACTGTCTTTGAAGAGCTGGCGTTGGCATTGAAACCGCTTGTTGAGAGGAATCACTATTGTTATTAAGGGGAGTCGACGAACTACCTATTGACCTTGTGGAAGATTCAATGATAGGCGGTTTTTGTGAGTCTGGGGGTATTGCGGGTGAATCTCCGTCAACATTAGACGAAGTATCAAGAGGATTGTTGTCCATATGAATAATTATAGAGAACAGAAGATCGTGTGAACAGAGACTTTATGAAGTGGCTTTTCTTGTGTATATTTGTCACGAGACTAATATATTCTGTACTCTATAAAGTTAGTTGTGTTCGGCGTATACTTACTTAACAAGCTTGACAAGTGTATTCGTTATACGTATTTTATAGTCGTTATTCGTTATTGTCCTTATTTCTTACGTTTTTTTTTTTCCCAACCTTATAATGTTCATAGATAAAATACGTCTGCAAAAGAAAGAATTAGTTTCTTTTTTTTGTTTCATGAAAAAAAAGAAACGTGTATTAAGTGTATAGACTAAAATGTAGGACACGATGATTTAATTGCGTTAATACGCCTAATTTCAGAAATTGTAACAGTATCCTACATCGTTATCAAACAGCCTGATTATTAATATGGGTATTCTCCGATATTGCTAACAATAACGTCTCACGTGATGTTTTGGTCGAGGATTTAAGATTAGACTAAGAAATTGAACCCCTTCAGCATGCCTAATAACGGATTTATCCGGCGGTTTACTACGGTTTTCTATCCAATAATTTTATTATTGGGCAGAGACAATAGTTTAAACTATTTTAAACTATATACTTTAAATTTTCGTTTAAGTCATAGTAAGCTGCCAGATAAATATATTTAGTATCGTTATACTTAGATATGGTTCGGTCAATAATACGTATTTTACATATATACAATACGTAAAACATTTTGAATATTAAGTATTAATGTTTCCTTTAAAATAAAAAATACGTCTTTGATTTGTAAACAAAACGTTACGTATACGTCTGTTTGAAAAGCATAACGCTTAAAAATAACTTTAAAAGCTAATTAAAAAAGTTGTACTAAACTTGCCACAACTTAAATTTAGAATTAAACGTTAATGTTAAGGATAGAGTGTCCGTAGATCATTTTTCACATATATACATATTCGATATTGTAATTTACGAATTCATATCATTACTTATTTTATAGACAAACAAGTTTATTTACGATTAATTTATAGACAAGCTTATTTTATAGCGATAGACAATTATTTCATTATGGTTTATCTTATATACTATAGTTAATTTTGAAGATAATATAATAAATTTGTTTTTTTTTTTTTTTTTTTTTTAGCAATTCTGCTTTTATTTACAGAGAATTTGCTATGCTATATTACATATATATATTTTAAAGTTATCTTTACTAATAAGATTTATTTGACAATTTAATTACCAAAGTTATTTAATTATAAATTGGTAATTATTAATTATATTAGTACTATTTACCGTATATTATTTAATTTACTATATTTATTGTTTG